CCGTCACCACGAGTCCGTCACCACGAGTCCGTCACCACGAGTCCGTCGCCACAAGTCCGTCGCCACAAGTCCGTTGCCACAAATCCGTCACTACAAATCCATCACAATAAGTCCGTCACCATAAAAAGTTGTGTCACGCGTTGAAGTCTTTTGTATGTCAGAGTCGTTGCTATCCAACTGTGAAAATTGCGTTATAAAAATACGTTGCATAACAAGAATAATTACTAATTAGCATTATTATTAGTGTTTATTATTTGTCGCAAATGCTTAAGTAACAATATAAAATATGGACTAAAAATAAAGGACAACAAAGAAACACACATTGACGTAGTCATAAGAATTAATGTATTACTTACTTTCAAATTGATACCTAATGATTACGTAAACTATTTCATTTAAACGAGCTATTTATTGAAGTAAATAAATACAACGATGTTTCAAATTTTTATTAAAATTAACGTTACAATGTCGCAAAAAAAAATACAATCTTACCTCATTTTTTTACTATACTCAAAATTTAATTTAAAACCACCTTTCATAAATTGTATTATATAGCTAAGCTATTCAAAAGAGTGCCCGTATTGCTTTTCCCTGCACTTGAATTAGGGTCACATTACTCGTCACACATGTGCATTTTACCTACAGGTGCTGCTTCACCTGTAATGAATCGATAAAGGTCTAGGTTTTACGCCATTTTAAAAACGGAAAAACTAGTGATAAGGCTCGCGAATACGGGTGACTTTTTATAACGGTGTAGCGAACTCAATAATGGAACAATTATTCAGCTTATTACATTGCGTAAACAGCTGTACTTTACAATTGGCAGTGTAATTATAGTTGGTTTAGTTGTATACCTTGTTGTGCGCCTTTTTTGAGATAGCGCTTATACAAATTGAATCGAGTCCTTAAAAAACGACAACCATGCAACTAACCCATATAGCTATTTGTAAACGATGTAGTTGATTACCTTAATTTCCTGACATTCAAGAAAAGACGACATGGAATGAGGTTGAGGTGGTACACACGCAACCGCAGAACAATAACTGTGCCGTGTATTTTACGATGGTGATGTGAGAACTACTAATAGGAATAAAGTTTTTAGAGTTTTATGCAGTTAATTTTCTTTAATAGCTCTAAAGTTGACATCAAGTGTTAGAAATAGCACGCATGTGCCATTAAAATCAATAGCTAGTGTTAAATCATCGTACCAACGTAGTTATCACCGAGTGTTCACCAACAACAAACAGCGAGACACATAACACGACATTGAGTAACTAACATAGTTCATACACTTTATGCAAATAACGTTTCGTATCTATATCACTGTTAACCATAGTTAATTAGATTGAAATGACAGTCGAGATCGCGGTGACTAACCTAAATACAAAGCGACGCGATGACCGGAAACCGCGCTATTGTGCTGCATTCATTGACACCTACTGCCTACATCATCCGGTCAATTCCTGTCTCGTACCACAAAAATCACAGCCGATGACATACATACTAATACTTAGCTACATGCTTATACAACACGCAAGTGTACTGCTAACCAAGATAATGTACTAATCATTAAGTTAAAAAAATTACAATGAAGTTATCAGAAACTGGAACCCATTCGTTTCTGGAAATCCCGATAAACCTATCACTATCCAGCAATCTTTTTGTTGAGACTTTCTTTTAAAACCAATTTACCAAGAAACGGTTCCGTTCCTCAGGGATTTTAATCCATTCTTTGTCTTCATTATTAATGCACATTGTGTCCTCTTTAAGTCGTGTCCAGACATTTTCGGGCAAAATGACGCCATTCCGTGCTTCAAGACCCATTTGGAAGTTACCTTGGCCCACTTGCTAAGTGTATCATGCAAATCTTATGCGCGAATCTCAGTTACAAAAGTAGCATGGGAAATAATCCTAAAGAGTGCACTTTTGTCCTTTTATCTTCACAAAAAATTAAGGTAAATACATTTAAGTGCAAAGCAGACGACGACGACCAAATCATTAGCATATTGATGAGAGTAAATATTTCGTAGAAACGCAAAAAGCCGACAGTTATATCAGTGATTCACGATCCGTAACTACCTGAACCGTTAAAATGTTCAGCAATGGGTAACAAACGTTTGTGTTATATTATTCAGATAAAAGGTTATAGTCAAAATCCCGTTAACATTAGCACAATTTTTATAAATTTATATTATATATAAATTTATATTTGCTTTGTGTCACCACAGCAAGTTTCGAAATGGAAAAGATGCAAAGTATCCTTTCCATAGATAAACGTTAAGGTCGCGACAAAAGACGGCACAGGTTGGGATCACGCAAGACACACATGATCTCAGGTAGATTTTTGATGGACCGCATGACCGTATCAAGGAATAGGATCTTGCCGAAGTGTAACACATTTTTGACGATGCGAGTGGCCGTTACAGAAGAAGTGATAATTATAAAAACCAATCCACATGACGTAACAATCAATTTCATGATAAAGCGTTAGAGGAAAAGTAAGATAATAAAGTTTGATGAAAACGGAACTAAAGGAAATAACAACATAAACAACATGCTCTTGAGCATACCTACTTTTTAGAATTTAGTATATTTAAGAAGACGAAATGAAGAATGACTTCATTGTGTAATGAATTGAACAGAATGATAGCGCGGATTAATGTAAAAAGGAGTCTGGAACGAAGAATGGATGCATTGTGTAGGCGTGAGTTATAGTGGCAAGACGTACCGCATTCCTTATCCTTTTTGGAGAGCAGCGGGATTGGGCCATCGTCGAGAGGTGAGCCAGGGCAGAGGGAGTCGGCCTTGCTGTTCAGCAACTCCTGACCCTCTTGTAACCCTAGCTGCTGCTCATGCAGCCGTTTCTTGATCAGGAAGATTTTCGGCATCTTCGGGCGCTAATGATCACTGCACTCGATCCTTACAATTGTCTCTGTCACTTTGTCTATGATAAGTCGTAATCAAATCCCTTCGAAAACAGTTCAACACTTTGCATCGTATCACACTACACGGTAAGTCTCCTGGATTTGTTGATGTTTATTTGGTGCGTAACAGCTAGCGGCACATCTGGTACCGTTGGCCGCTGCGAAAGGACTGAGCGCTAGTAGGTGTGCGGTGCCCGCGACACCGTTGCCGGAACAGGTCCGCCCCCGCCCGCGCTGCTCCGGCGCCGCCCGCCCGACCCCGTGCGCCCGCGCAGCCAGACGCGCACACCGGCATCGGCCGATGGGCCATGGGCACGGGCATGGCCACAACACCTCCACTAATACATTCCAGTAAAAGTGCTGTTTCGTGTAAGGACAAAGTCCTATCCCTGACAATGTCTTGCCTATTATTTACTTTGCATTGAGTAGCTTTCATCACTATTAAATAGAGCTATTTATTTTTTGAAGTAAAATCACTCGAGGCTTGAAAATTCCTTGTATGATTGTTTTTTTATTTTTGAAAGTTACTGGTAAATAGAAGGAAACCCAAAGCACAAATAAAGCACTGGGTCTTCTTCGAAGACTGGTTGCTCAATCTGTGTCAGTGGAGTCATCAAAATATGAATCATTTAACAAGTTCAACATGTTTGACCATAATTTCTTCGTATACTCAAAGCCCGCTTAAGGATGAATCTCGTGGTGTTTTGGTTCTATTCTAACCCCGTTGTTTATAAATTTGTTCTTATTTTAAACGAATAAGGCATTGAGGGATTATTTCTTGCATATTTATAATCATAACCCATACTGTCAAAAATCACGTGTTTGTTGTCGGCAACCTTTCAATCAACGGCGACGTTTGAGAAATAATGCAGATGTTGCCTGAGTACATTGCCTACAATCAGTGAAGCGTATTCTTTCAGAAACAAGTATTAACAATAGGATGGTTATAAAGTAACAACAATAATTTTTACGATTTCCTTTTGTCTGTACGTAGTTTCCATTTTGTGTTTTTCTGCGTTTTTGTTTGGGTTATCGCAGCGTAAACGGCGGCACCTTTGTTCAAATGAGTTTGGCTTGCAAAAGTCGCATGTCTACCGCCATACTGTATCCAAATTTTACTGTAGCAAACAATTACATAGTAAAATTTTATAACATTTAACAACATACATATTCTTAAAAACAAAAAATATTCACCCATTTCAAAACTCGTACACTTCCTTTACTTTGAATTACTTAATCTCGACATGTAATATTGACAACAACAAAAAGTAATATTTAAAAAAAAAAGAGTTGTTTCAATAACAAAAATCCTTACAAAATTCTTATAAACTGTTTGTATAATAAGCCTTTTTAGCCTTTGAATCTTCAATGTCGTTTGTATCAAACACTTAATGTATAAGACAGCCTTATATTGAATAGCCATTTCCGGTGTTTGCGTACTAAGCGGATGTTCACTGAAATAAATAAGAAAGAAACTCAGCTCTCGTCGGCACCTTAACTGTTTTCATAAATACAAGTTGTATAAAAAGAACTTGTTCTAAAGAAATAACAACAAATGAATCAACGAGATGTGAAATTTGTTTGCAACATACATACAATAAGGATTAGGCTATTTATAGCCTAACAGTTATTGCCATCGCAAAAAAGAGATTAATGTCGGCCAAAAACCTAGACAAAGTTATCCCAAAAACGGTTTATTCTTTTCCCAAAGCTATTTCCCTGAACTCGAGACTTGGTGTTAAGAAACTAGCTTTGTGTTCTCGGATTATAGAGTACGTCTCTTCCTGATTCCTGGGGAACATCTTTCGTTAACTGAAGATAATTCATTTTATGCATTACGTAGACTATTTAACTTATGCACCTGCTATCATAATTTAAATATTTTATTTAAAAACAAAGAATAAAGTTTTATTGCTATAACATAGCCAAGCTTTGAAAAAAAGACCACGTGGATTCGATGCCAAAGTTCATGGCTGTCATGGCACAAACCCTCATTTTAAACATCATAAATCATTTTTTATTAAAAATTCAGCTAACGACTCCATAAAGTGGCAAGGAGTTGTTTTGCTGACACAAATAAAACAAAACTGTAACATGCTACCGAATTGGTTCTGTTTACTTTTTTAACTTCAATAAAAAATGATAGCGATTTTGAGTTAACCACGTTTAAAGTTTTTTGTAGTTATCTTTTAAAAAAACTTACGGCAAACATTTAAAGTGGATATTGTTTTATTTTGAAACAAAAGCTCGTTTTAGGTACATCATTGCAAATTACGACGATTTGGTTTCAGCAGTAATGTTCTACTTTTGAGCGGTCTTTTGGGATATTCTTATGAGAATTTCTTCCGCATTTCGTCTGTTTTGTATTTCTCTGATACGAAATATATGCTAGTATAAATAAGTAGAATTTTAAGAGAGTACGTTTACATTTTACTTACATAGTAATGGTTTTATTTTTAAAGACAAACACGTTTTTAGTTGCATCATTGCAAATTACGAAGAGTTGTGATTTGATCTTTGGTTTCGGCAAGAAATTTCTACTTTTAAGTTTTGATTTTCTCTGATTCTAAATATTATATGCCATATAGAATCAGGATTTTCGAAAAGTACATATACATTTTAGTCATACTGTGAAGTTGTTACAGCGAAGTAAATTAAAATTTTAGATTATTCATTACTCATACTAATGTGTAAGTACATAAATACATCATGTTTAAGTATATAAATACATCATGTAAGTACATAAATACATCATATACGCTTATATGTACGAGAAATTTCGATCGTCGAGATATAATGCTTCTTTCTCCGATTCCAAGCGTATGCACGTGTCTGGGAATCGTGCGCAACCACCGCATTCGTGCCAGCTCACCATTGCAGCATCGACGAACATGAAATCATAAAAAATGTTTCAGTATGGTGGATTCGCCTGTATACATTTACATTTTTTTTCTGAATAAGTGAGTATCCTTAAAATTATTAAAAGTATAAACAGCCAGCGATAAAAGACATATTTTTCAAAGTTTAAATATAAAAAAATTTCAAATATAAATATGCGAAATCGATTTTCATATATTTGTTCATAGTATATGAAATTTTATTCCTTTTTTTTTATTAAATAAGAGGTTGTAAATGAAGTCTTGGAGATAGTGTGGTGTAGTGGTAGACGCCACACGTATAGTACTATCAGCAAATTGAAGCCTTCCCAGACTCGCCCACCTGCGTGTTTTGTCGACCTTTTTATTTATGAAAATCTTTTGTTTCATATAAGTATTATGCAGTCCTTAAAAGTCGTTCGTTGACAAAGAAGCTGGGTACACCCACAACCCTTCACACAACCGTCCGCTTTGCTTATAGTAGATCGTTCTTGATGAAAATCAATTTTTATTTATCTGAAGCATTGCTTTATTAAGATAAATACATGTCATATTGTCCTATCTTCACAGTTTAAAGTGCATAGGAGTTTGGTGGTGGCTGCGTGTGCGCTGCGTCGATTGCGCAACGGTCGCACCGCGCACCGGTTTCGCGCCGCCGCACAAGCCGACTCAAGTTCTTGGCAACGCTAACCTCTTTCAAGTTTACTCGTTTGTGATTTTGCTAGCCAATGAGTATGCAGTACATATACCATGAGTAAGGTAATATGGTGTTGGTTTATTTGATAATTTTGTATGGCAAATTGTAGAGTGTATTTTATGCTGTTGCTACCCAGAAACTTAGGGACGAAAGACAGAATTTCACAGTACAGTTCAGACAATGCAGATATAATCTAATACGCTTGGTGTGCAGTTACCAAAAATGTAGAAATTTAAACAATAATCTCTGTTTAATCCTTTATATTATAGATTTTTCCACTTTGGCTTTATATAATTGTACATGATAAATCAATTTATAATTTACAATCTTTGATCAGTCTTTTTATGTATATGTAAACAGTTAACTAGTTTTTTTTTAATTCTGCATGTCAATGATCATTTTATAAATACAATACGCAATTTGAATGTTCTTTATGTGTCCTTGTCTACTTACGTACCAATGCGCAATGGCGTAAACAAAATAAAAATTGCAAATTTTCAATAAAGAACGTTATTCAATAGTTGTAACTAAATTCACACACATTATTTAAACGTACATGTGTTCGTGCTGTAGAGTATGCAGCAACAGAAACTAAACTCTGCATTAATCACACCACCATGTCAAACTATAAACTATAGTTTCACATGGTGGTGTGGTATATAATAATATCAAAAACAGCAATTTGGGAAGAAGATTTAGCCGTGGGGCGACGGCTTAAGAATACATTGTCGCCTCCCCATACATGCCCGTGGGGGTCGTAAGAGGCGACCGAGGGCGTCACAAGTGTCCATCTGCTTAGCATTGTGGTAGGCTCTGTGCCGACTGGATAGCGACCACAGTACACACGGCGGAAAACCCTCCACAGTGAAACGCTTTTGCGAATCGCGTTCAGGGATCAGTTGGTGTACATCCAGTGCATTTGGCCAGACCGGCAAAATGATAGTGACGGAGTGAAGATATTTGTGTTTTCCATCCGTTACTCTCATCTCTGGACTGTATTCGCACTTTCCATCAGGCGCGGTGCAGTCATTTTGTCGAGTCGCAATAAAAAAAAAAAAAGAAAAAAAAAAAAAGAAAGGACTTTCCGTATTTCATATGCAAATTTTCATGTTAATAACTTTAAAAGATACATTTAACTTAATTGGTACATAGCATTATAAAGAGTTATGTAATTGTACTTTGCAATGTAAATAAGTTTTTTTGTGACAAGACTAACAAGTCGTGCGTACCACCAGGCGTAAGCGATACGTTTGTCCACAGGAGTTACAGTGCGACTCAGAGTTTTAAGTCGCAAAGATCTGAGGGACACTGCACCCGTCATTCAGCCTGAGATTTAAGTTAACATGTCTCATGTGCTTGTAATTTCATCAGCATCCTTACCCTTCAAAACAGGAACGCAATGCTCATATTACTATTTGGTGACAAAAATACGTAAGGTGGCAGCACTTCCCTTGCTACTACAGTACTTTCATTACGGGATATTACGTTTTGGTTGCACCCCCCTTTAGAACTCTTAAATTGAGATAGAACTAAGGTTGGAAGAAATTGCTGCTTAGCAATACGGCTGCATGTTGTACATTGGCTTACTCTCTGATACTTCTTACATTTCTGTTCTGTGTTGTTATTGTAATTTTAATATGCAATAAAGAATATTTCATTCATTAATTCACTGGGCGAGCTCTTTCACAAGGAGCTCCACTGCTACGAAAAGGTATGTCTATTGAAAAGCGTGTAAATTCGTTTTGACTGAATAACAACTGAAACACAAATAGCGGACTCCCATAATGAATGAAGAGTGACAACATTATTCAAAACTAAATTAAAGTCTCTTGACAAATGTGTTCTACTACAGTATAAGTTTGTGCGTATTAATTGCCTGTGCAAAGCCTGAACTAACATTGTAATAAATAAAAACGAAGAAAGATTTTTTGGTTTGACACGTTAACATTAAACATCTTACAATACAAAGGCGACAATATGTCAATAGTATTTTTAAACAGCCATAGCAACAAGTTGCCCATTACTTCCACCTCAACCAAAGTAAAGCTTATCAATCTGCGACTTGGTAACATTGAAACCCATCAAGTGTTACGGATCGCGCTGCAACGGTACTCACGCGATGATTGCACGCACGCGCGACTATCCACTGCAATGTTACCAAAATAACCTGACCCTTGACAGTTGCTAAAACAACAATCTATTATAACTAATCTTCATGAAAAAGTACTAATAATCTACCTAAAGGAAAGCCTTTTTTAAGTCTAGATAATAAATATAACTTTGTATTTTTGGTACATATGTATTTGTCTAAGCAGAAAACCCCAATGTTGCTTGTCTGAGATCTAACAGTGGTGGTAATATAGGGGAATAAATTGCAATAGTATTAATGTTTAGAACCGGTCCAACGATTACCCTCAACTGGACACTCATATTATTCAATTGGTCGCAGACGTGATTTGATCGCAACAACTATAGACCTTGTGGTTGTCTATAATAGGCGACCAATGTATTTTATTAGGCAGATATAGTCTCTATTTTTTGTTCCATATGTTCATTATGTTAATTCATCTTATTTGTGACCATCTCATTTAGTTTTTTATGATATTTATTTATTAGTTGTTCTGATATGAAACGCTTTGAAATGTTAAATGTCGATAATAATATGAACGAATAAACTTTCCATTTAAATATAGTAGCAGTGGAGATCCTTGTGAAAGAGTTCATCCAGGGTAGTACTGCCACCTTACCTATTTCTGCCGCTAAGCAGTCCGGTCCTAAAGGGTAAGGGTGCTGGTGAAATTACTGGCACATGGGACTTGTCAACTTATGTCTCAGGGGGACCGGCGCAGTGGTAGTTCTCCTCAGACCTTTGGAATTTCAAGCTCTGAATGGCACTGTTACTGTTATTGACAGGCTTGTAGCTTACCATCAGGCGCATGAGTGACTTGTGCGTCCCGTCACTTCGTATTATACACATCCCGTACAATAAAAAAGATCATATGCAATAAAACTATGTGTTTGATATCGATAGTCAAAATATTATAATTTAAAATGCAATGTCAAGGTAGAACATGATTGTTTGCAATTTATACAATAATATAATAAACAATGAATAAGAAACTAAGTACGATAATATACAAGAAATATAATTTTCAATTTATTCTTAAGAAATTCTTATGCACCGTAGAGCTCATTATAAAAAAAAAAGTTTGAGTCGGATATACAACGCGTCTTTGTTTTCCTAGTAACACAAATTTACTATGTAAGGATTTCTGTGCAGACCCCGTTATTGTCTTAGGTGTTAGACATAAGCGCTAAAGCGTTCTCTCCAGGCTTAACACAGCTGAGTTCCAGTTCAACTGCTCACGAGTAGCTCTATCAACTCTTTTAAATTTTTTTTCTGTATAGATGATCGTTGCATCTAGGACAAATCAATCTCGGAATATTTTTTTTATTACCTCAAACATACATTCTCCATCAATTAAAATACATATAGTTATATCTTCATATACAATCAATGTGCTTTTGGGCGTTCATAATTTTGGGACACTTAATAAATTGTGTAATACACAGCGTGCAAAATAATTTATGTTTTATTTGTATTATCAGTAACAGCTGATTCAAAATTTTACTCAAAGGATATATTACGTTTAAAATCTTCTGTTCAGACTTTTTCGTCTATCAATTTATCTAAACCTACTTTTAAGAACAATTTGTCTTTCTTTAAAAGACAACTGAGATCAGTGTTAATTAGGCTCCAGAGCACGAACGCGACGTCGTCATTATCACCCGCATCTTGTATGTAACGAGGTTGCGCCGGCGTAGTACATTACAACTACGCAAATTGTTAACACAAATTAAACGAGACATAGCCGTAGCTAATACTGCTTTTGTGGGTAGGTGATTGGCCTTAATTAAGGTCCTTTTCAAATCTTTTAAAAGGAAAATGCTAAGAAATTTTCTTTTATATTACAGATTCTTCAGATCGAACATCAAAATCCCTTTTTACTAGTAGGGATGGACAAGATACGACTCTCCGTTCAATCTTCTACCAAAATCTTCCAGAGCGTCCGAATTCGAATCAAACGTGACGCAATAACACCCCATTTCGACCGTATGATGAATTGTGATGTTGCAAGAGCACAGAATGCTTCGTTGCATGAATTAAACGTCGGAAAATTCTCAAGCATACATGTTTACGTGTACCTATACCGGTTGTCAAAAGGCTGTGGTGTGGAGCGAGCGCGGGTGTGGAGTGGGGCTCGCGGGGTCGGGCAGGGTACAGCGACCGCAATAGCGCTGAGCGTTGCCGCACCGCGCCTGCGCGGGCACCATTGCCAAGATCACGGACCGCGCTTGCGCAGCGAATGTCAGCCACGTCACGATCGAGCTTTGTGCTATCGCGATTGGATCGTTTGAATTTAGAACTGGGAACGCAATCACGATTCGTCTGTTGAATTGTTATAGCCGTGCCTAAATCAGAAAGAATATTTCATGGAATGCTTTTATTCAACTGGTACTTAAGTTGTTATTGTGTTTTATCATGAATACAGAATGTTGATAGGTATTTCGTGTTTCCCATTTTAATAAATTCAAATTTTTGTCTTGTTGAATTCATAAAATTCATTTCAATGGCGCAGTAGCCTCTACATGTTTTCGAAAAGTGGGATAGTTCTAATGTAATAAGGAGAGCTTCCAAAATGAGATTCCCTCAAAATACAATATTCAAATTGCATTTGAAGCTCCGATATGTGAATATAACTTTGAAACTTATATTTGAAGTGCATTTTTGCAACAAACAATACCCAAATTCTTGTAGGATATTTAAAATGTTATTACGGAAACAATAAGGGTTATTTTCTGTAAATAAATAAATATTCGTTAGCTACCTCCTACTATGAATCAATCAAAGTTACTATTAAATAGATATGTATGCACATAGTGCAATTAGTTTTGTTCACTTATCAAGCCAATCACGCACCCTTCCCATTTTCCAAACGAGTTCCTATTATGCAATCACTTCACATAAATAAAGACCGTTTTTGTCCCCGCATCCCTACGGAACATACAGTCCCAAGACTTCCACCGAGCTTCACCGTGGTTCGTATAATAGCCCCTGCCCCATCTTTATATGGGCCGAGCCGTAGCCTCCCGCAATCCTCATTCAATTCACGTAAGGTAGCGGCCCTAAGGACCGGGTTTTTGTAACAGCGCAACAGGTAGAAAGGAAAGGATTGCGACTAGAACGAGACAACCTGACGATCTTCTGGTTTTGTCTCACTCTGTGCGCCAGCGCAGGAATGCCGTACGATTTGTGCTCGCACATACTGCAGACGGTTGTTGTGTGGGTAGACGTATAGCTTAGCATAACACACACTGCCCTAATGTGTATGGGTCATATAGCGGGATCAACAGAGTTTAGCCAGTGAAATTATATTGAAAGGGAGTCTGGTGATTTTTGGTCATCTCCAGGTTGCATTGTTAGGCCAGGCCTCATTCATCGCATTGTTTATTTATTGGTAATTCAGAATTGAAAATAACGTTAATTTATTTTTATTATTAGGAGGATTGAAGGAAATAAAAATGAAAAATAGCATAATAAAAAATAAAAATTTAAAAAATAATTTGCGTTTGAATAGCATTCATCACTGCGATCTACAAATTGATCTATACAGATCAAATTACGAGTATACCATCTCGGGAAAACGTAGAAATTGTTAAAAATTAAACAAATACAAATACAAAATAAATTTTTCGTAATGAGCAATGATCTGCTGATGATAAAGCATAGAAAAATGATGCCTAATAATAACCTAACTGGTACCTCCAAAGGCAAATACGGCAAAAAAATTAGCTTAGTCAAGTGATAATTGTTAAGAAACATTGCTGAGTCAATTTACACTCTGACGACAAGACATTTGGAAGTCATCTCCATTTGGTTAGCAAACTCAATATAATACAGACGAGGTAGGTATGTAACAAACAACAACCTTCTAAACTAGCGCGATTTAATACAGATCATTGTCGACTTTCCTTTGAAACATAACTTAAAAGATAAATTGCACTGAACGAAGAGAAGGGAAATATAACACGTAAAATGTCAGTGTTTGGTATTAACTGTCACTATTGCCATCAAACCTTGAATGCTGTTCGGGTTTCCTTTATCTTTTAGATTTGTGATATAGTTTGATCATTCGTTATTTTGAATTACGAACCTACGATTTCAGAACCAGTCATTCGTCTCTGAGCTGATTGGCTATAGTATAGTCTTGAGAGATATAAATATAGTTCATTACTTATAATAACTTGGAAGTACTTACGTGTAATGTCGGTCGTGTGTCTTGGGTAAACATGTAGCCGCTGAGTCGCCGGTCCCATAAAAAGTTTCCTCCAAGATCCGGTCGCACAAGTCTGTAAGATCGATGACCCCTACTCGATGTTTGACTTATGGAAATTGCTTTTCTTGCCTCATGTGCCTGATAGATTAGGATGTTTGGTATTCATCATTATATTTTAATGGGCTTCCATTCCCTGTTCGTGTTTCTGGGACAATTTGATGATCTCTGTAAAACAAGTCCATAATTCGCCATTTCTGTCAGATATATTGAGTATTGTGGTAATTAGATCAATTAAATCAGTGAAATTAGGAGGCCATCTTATATAATAAATATTGTAGAAATGTTTTTCAATATTCTGCCACATGTTATTGTTTGTTGTTTTATTAGGTTTTTTTGTTTTGGACAAACGGTTTTTCTAGTGTACGTATATCAATTGCAAATAAAATTCATTAGCAGTTATTTCATAAAATGTGAACTTAAATTCGCACACGTACAACCTCTGCGTGCCCGCTGCGCTTACATCAGTGACTATAAGACTATAAGTGCTATAACATTACGCGACTTACGCGACCGGTTACACCGCCACCGCTGGCTGTGCCGCACCGCGTTGCCGCTGCTGCCTCCGCCACCGCCGCCGTTGCCGCTGCACCTTCTATCGGCACTAACTTTTACGTTATTATAAACTGTAAATTTGTGTAGCTTTCAGTTTCAATGCTTTGCCTAAGAGAATTTTTTAGGGACTTAAGAGTTTCTATCTTTCATTGATATAACTTGTTATAATATAAAAGTTATTTCAACATAATATTGTATCTTTGATTAAAAGTTTATTGTATTTAATAACAAATTTCAGAGCCTTAATCTAAGCATTTAAGCTTTAATTGTACAGTAGTTTTTAATTTCATTACAACAAAAATTTTTTGGAAAATTTTGGTTTTCTTTTTTCAAAAGAAACATCCTTCTGCAAAGTAAAGTTGTAATGATAGAATTTTTAATTTTTTTAAATGTATGTTTTTAAAATATTAAAAACCTCAAAAATTACGAAAAACCAAATTGTTTTTTAAGCTTTTTCTCAAAATGCTATTTTTGATGTTACAGTGTATGGGTTTGATAGGGTAGTGCAGTATCTGTGCAACAAAATAGTTAAAATTATATGTGAACCATAACCAAAAATAAATTATGTCGGAGATATACTACTTCAGGTTATTTAACATCCAATGAATTAGAACCCAGAGGAAGTTTAAAATCACGAAGGGCGGTAGGAAGACATAACAAAAACCACGATGTTGCAACTCAAGAGTCGCGGCTTTGGCGGTCGCGCTCGGCAGTGCAGCACGATCTAGCGTTCCGCTCTGCGTCGGCGTAGCCCCTCCCGCGCCTCTTCGTAATCATGCCCTCCCCTCTCTCTCGCCTGGCCCTGACCGAGACACAGACCTCACGGAGGCGAAATGTTACGAAATTGCCTATCGACGGAACTTGTTTCTTGCACAGAGACTGTTAAACTTGCTTTGAAATGGGCACGTATACTGTGGCTGTGTTCAGGGAATTGAGAATTTTGAACTGGATTTTCTTTTAAAATATTTTAATGGCCTCTCATGTGTTTTTTCATTTGAATAGTTTATTTTATAATTTCATTACTGTTCATTTTTATTAGTTACGTTCAAAGTTGTTGCCTAGAAGGAATTGTTCGTGGTCGTCCATTGGACTTGACAATAATAACACACACGCACACACTCATAGCTCCACACTAGGGAAAACTAGAATCGCGGGTGCCATGGACACACACACAGACAATCATAAATTATCATCACTCATAAATCAGGCCATACGAATATTTCTCCCCACCCGGGAATCGAACTCAGGACCTCCGCGTGGCAGGCCAGCATGGTAACCGTTAGGCCAAGGTGGCAGGAAAATAACTTAAATTGAATTAATCATTATTGTAACACTTAATGATCAATAAAGAGTATTTCATAACTGAATTCCATATCAAAAATCCAAACACACAACCGACTCCAATATTATTAATTTCATTTTATAAAAAAATTAAGTTCCTCAGTCGTGGTAAAATGTTTCTTGAGTATATTATTCCGATGCACCTTTTTCAGCAATTAGGAATAACCTTCTAATAGCTCCAATTTGTCAAGTTGTGTAGATTGCCGGTTATCTTCTATAAAAACTTGCCTGCGAATTTAATTAAGACACACCTGCGGCGTCCCGAGCCAAATGCGGGAGTCATTGAATTTAGAATTAAATTATGAATATAATTAATGAAATATCTTTATAATTGGCCAAGCCTTCACTTTTAACCGAGAGACGTTTAGTAAAAGAATTGGCCGGTGTTTAAAATGATCTCTAAATTGTGAAAAGTCTGCATTTAAATAAAAATAATAGACAATAAATAAAATGATGAATGACCACTACCGCAATTGCAGTCGATATAGTATTTTTTTATTTTTATTTATTTTACTTTAATAAACACTAAAGTTACTAATGCTACAATTGGTACGTAGTAACATACATAAGTTATTGTGCTACATAGGTAGCAATTTTAATTAACGAGACGACGCATTACTAACATTATATAAACAAAACAAGTTCTGTTCAGTCTACCAGAAAAGTCATAAACATTTTATATGAATTTTCTACAACGGTAGAATAAAGATTATTTGTTTTAGTGATACAGTATACAATATGTACAACATTTACTTGTACCCATTGTAATTAAAAAGTAAGAAATAGTGCAATAAACACAAAACAAAATTTCTCGAAATGTAAACAAAAATTTGATTATTTTAATTTAGTTTATTAAATGTCAAGATGTTTCAGCACCACGATATTCAATTATCTTTTTTGAAATTACTCCACCAGTTTGTTATAATTATAAATACAAAATGGGAACACTTACAAAAAAATCCTTTGACCCGGCTGGATTCGTACCAGAGCTAGCAAACCGTACTAGACGTTATGCCAACGTATCCACGGAACGAACTAGCAGACCTTACGAATTTTTCTATGTGCTTGTTGCAGATCTTTGCTTTTGGTTTTGTAACGAATTTTTTGCCGTAGCGCCATCTGTGAAAAATCTATTACTTCACTTAGTCAGGTTTTGTGTTTTTTATTATTTACTTAATTATGCCATTACGTCATCTGACAATTCTGCAAGAAAGGCGTCTTAATTAAAATTGAAGCAGATGCGGCGATTGTAAAATTATTTTGTCGTAAATCTAAAAATCTAATTTAAAAATGCAGATTGCACTTTAATGGTCGTCACTTAATGTATGCACCTGTTTCCTTAAAATTTTGGCAATTTACTGACAGCGAGAGCAGAATTTTTAAGAGTATATTTAAATCAAATCGTACCTTTGATGTAATATGAAATATATATATATATATATATATATATATATATATATATAATAACTGTCCTATACATGTCCAGTACTATACATTCTGTATTAAGAGAGTTTGTTAGAGGTTTGTTGTACTCGAGGTTTGTAATTTTTGACGCCCGTGTCACATACAATGTTTTTCATCACATTTGCGAGAAAATAGATACAATGATAATTTATTTCTTGTATGGATAAATGTCGCTTCTCAACACAACATTCACGGATTTTGCAAATGGCGGGTTTTTTGTTTCTTTTTTAAACAGATTGCCAGCTATTTTCCATAGATAATACAACTCGAACTAAAATGTTACAAAAGGCACAGACGCATGCAGCCACAATGTATTACCTATATATAAAATAAATAATTTCCGAATTGTAAAAATACTGCAGAGTTTCAATTCATAAAATATAATTAAATTGCAAATGTTTAGATTTTTAAACTTCAAGTTTATGCGAAATGTACGTTCAGATTTTTTGAGCATAAAAACTTTTTGCTTAATCTTGACGTAAAAAATCCATAGGACGATAATGTAATGAAAAAACCCGTGGGCATAATTAGGTCATTACGGTCGACTTTGCCTGCGTATCATGACACTGTTTACAAGCAAGAGTGATGAAAAAAATTATCGACTAATTTCATTCGTAGAATCTCGTTAAACCTCTTGAAAAGTTGCCGTTTTGTAACACCAAGGGTGCGTTATATATAATACACATATAATTCACGTACCAAATTTTGAATAGAATTGGGCACGTGTTTTTTTCTTCCAGATCAACAGACGTAGAAGAAATTTTCATACACTTGATTGTTTGTAAGAAAATGATAAAAAGAATTTTTAAAATATTGTTATAATTATACTGCCCTCCTGTCCACAGATCCGCAGCGCACGCATCGGACGGATCGCATTATACGGATTTTAGTATCCTTTGTATAGAAATTTATACAACTGCGTCCACTGATCCGCATCGCATCGACCGCACGCACCGGCCTGTCGGTAATGCCGACGCAGTTGCTCGGAGGGGCAACTTTTCCGATGCGTGCCGACGACGTCATACGGATTGCGTATCAGTGGACGCACCCCTGCGCCAGCCGTCATTTGCTATTTGTTAAGAAGAGTAGTAAATTTAGCATGAGATATACGAAAATACTCGAAGAATTTTACGTCGTCGTTTAGCTAATTAGGAAATAGTGTATGATATTCTCCACGTTGCAATCTCTTCTTAAGTATGTCATGTGTCCAGATATCATGTTTCTTTTTTTTTTTCCTCTTCTCTGCCACAAACGGAGGCGTTTGATGCAATCCGTCCAATACGTGCGCTGGGGATCTTTGGACGCCTACCTTTATTCGACATTTTAGCAAAATTTAGTCATCAACGTGTCTGGGAACAGCGAAACGCCATCTTCTACTCCCTGTAATCGGTTTTGTAATATCTTTTTTAGCGTTATTGGTATTTTGTAGGTGACAATAAAACTTTAGTTGCCAATATGTGGAAAGGTACCGAAATGCAAATGCGTTAGTTATGACAACGAGTAGATGTAGTAGATGATACCCATTCGTAGTATAACATACCTGATAACTGCCAATTACCAAGCAAATACAAATATACCCCTCAATATTTAGGGCCTATAAGTTTAACTATGTTGTGCGGTATGATTCAAAACGAATAATACCGCAATCTGTCATCAGGGACCACCGGGATCGGCTGTTTTTGCCGGTAGCCGAAGGCCATATAAATAATTGCCTTACGTCAACTCATCAGGTGTAATTGAATATACAGTAATTTTAATCAACTCCTATTACAGGTATAACTTGATGACAGAACTTAGTTTTGCAATACATTATTGAGAAATTATGTTTGTATACCAATTTACTAAATAGCAACCCTTGTTTATTGAACTATTTCAGTTTGATTAGCTTCTAAAACTATAAGATAGCTAAAACATAATATGTATTTAACAAGATAAGTTTAAAAACTGATTCTTCTTCTTCTTGTTGGGGCGCCATTTACTACCGGAGGCGGAGGTCGGCTATCATTATAGCTATTTGATTTGTATGGTACTCATGTTGAACCACTGCAAGATTTTGAAGCCATGGGGTTTTGAACCTACGTCTTCTGCGGTTCTGGATTTTTCCCCGCGGATATTCTCCACAACTCATTGTTGTGGAGAATATTTTTCACTCCGCATGGTGTGCCCGAAGTATTGCAGTTTCCTCCTTTTTATTATTTTCAGGAACTCCAAGCCTTTGTGGATCCTTTGCAATACGTTGTCATTGGTGACTCTATCCGTCCACGATATTTTCAACATTCTTCGATAACGTCACATTCTGAAGACTGTTTACATAACGTCTGAGTTGGGCTTGATTCATATGTCCATTCTTGAACTCCGTACAAAAGAATCGAAAATATGTAGCACCGCACTAAACGACATCTTGTCGATAGTTTGGTACCACGATTGCAAAGGAAGTGGCTCATTTTAATAAATGCACTCCTTACTTGCTCTATGCGACATCTAACTTCTACATTGTGGTCTTCCTGGTCGTTTACCATACAGCCAAGGTATTTATAAGAACAGACCCTGTCAGCGGTTTGTTCCTAGCGTTGAGGACAGCAAACGTCTGCAGAGCTGATTAGATTTAACAATATACTAACTCGAAATTAATGCCTGTTCTATTTATACATGCACAGTAAAATGCTCTTTACATACGTAACTGTACGTTGGTATGTATGTCATTTGGACTTTATTTGGAATTTCTATAGTAAGTGTTCAATTCAGTGAATAACGTTAATCTCTTAATTATGTTTATGTAATTGAAATGGTACTTGTTTCTATATACTGCGGTGTCTCCAACTATGAATACTTAGTAACGCCTGAAAACTAGGAAATTGTTATATGGTATGTGTTAAAAAATAAAAACTGTTTTTTATTTAAGACAATTTTTTGGTTGATAATTTGGAATCCTAGAAGTTTATTTATTTCGGAATAAATGATACAAATTTATTCAGTAGTGTAAAAATACTAATAGTAATAAATACTTAACTTACTGTAATAACCTACCGCAGCCTCTCGCCAACACCAAGTGAAGAGACTTGCTGCAGGTCACGCGTGCTATTGGACTCGCCGACAAATGTTCATCAGTAGCGAGGCGTGAAAATTGTGTTTAGTAAAGCCGGAGCAAAACAAAAAAAACCACTTGCCTTAACAAACTTATTATCACACAAGATACTAGTACACTTTATTTCACTGGTTAATTATTCTACACGTAAAATTAAGCACAAAATGTAGTAAATTACTTTAAATATTTATGATATTTGATGATACTCTATGGACGCCTCGCCAATGATGTTCATGCCCCGTTTGGAAATGTTCTCCCATGGGTTGTTGGACAAAGCCTTAAATAACACCTCAAATCGAATCGAAAATCATAACTGGTTGTCTGAAGTCGACCCCGGTAGGATTGCTGTAACCACTGGCTGGCATGACTGTACCGAGTGCTTACGAAAGAACCAATTGCGAAAAAACAATTGACACTCACTTTAAGAAAAGAAAAGCCCCTTGTGAAAGAGTTCGTCCAGGGAAGTACTGCCACCTTACCTATTTCTGCCGCCAAACAGTAATGTCAGCGTTACTGTGTTCCGGTTTTGAAGGGTAAGGGTGCTGGTGAAATTACAGGCATATGGGACTTGTTAACTTATGTCTCAGGGTGACAGGCGCAGCGGCATGAAAGTCTGAAAACGTGGAAAAGTTTCGTGAAACGTGACGATTGACTGAACTTTGTCCCGCGTTCAGAGAGTCTTTATCCTGGACCGAATTGCTATTTTTAATCTGATAATCTTCGGGCTGTGGTGTGTCAAAGGAAGGACAGTTTATTCAAGTAGAAGTTTTCGTATTGTTTCTAACATGTATAGTGGAGCGCGGCGCGATTCAAAGGATGGTACGAGTACCTTATGGCACCTCACATCGTGCCCTGAACATTCTGTCACCTGCTCAAGAAGCGGTGAGTGTAGCGTGGCTAAGTTCTAAGTCGCAATACTATCATAAATTAGATGTAATTTCTTATATCTTATTTATGATACTATTGCGACTCAGAATCATGGTACATTACTACAGTAAGATGAATAATAATGTATATACGTTGTATCTACCTTCTGCACTTTACATTAGTCATTTAGGAACTCGTCTCTGATTTCGCGTCTTCTTTATTATAGTTAACCCTTTCGTGGACAGGAACAGTGTTTATCGTAAAATTAAATATTAGAATATGATAGTACCCCGTTTCGCTACAAATGGGTCTCAAAAAACCAACCTAGGGCTTCACAATACGATTTCCAAGAATGTCCGTGTAATTACCAAAATTCAAATTCAAATTCAAATTAATTTATTCAGATAACTAGGATCCATAAGTGTTAGCAACAATGAAACTTATAATTAGGTTAGTACTTAAATTCTAGAACAGATTTTGTATTATTAATGAGATGCCGCATTGTGGGACACTCACACCTAACTGCAATTGTCTTCAGGAGGCTGTTACCGCTGCCACGTATTCTGTTCAACAGAGATGCTGATCTTTTGCGCAAGACTGCCATGAAGCTATCCACACGGGCTTCAGCAAAAATGGCAGACGCACTGCAAAACCGCGGCAGCCGCATCAGCGTCCTGAAGGCGTTATTGTATTGCGTGCGCATGGCCCTGAGCGAGACTTGGGTATAGCTAGCCCACAGAGCCCCCGCGTACAGTGGTGTGCAGTAAGCTCTGAAAATAGTGACCTTCACCTCCACCGTACATCGAGCAAACCTGCGAGCCAGCATGTTCGCCCTCACCGACAGTGCCCTGCGCTCGCGTTCTATATTCATATTGTCCTTGAGGTCGTCGGCAATAAAGTGTCCTAAATATTTGAAATGAGCTACTCTGTTCAATGGAATTCCATTGAGAGTTATGGGAAGCACATTGTTAGGACTCTTCTTACCGGCGACCCCAAAGACCATATACTCAGTCTTTTTGACGTTGTACATCAATCCATGCGAGGCGGCATAGTCTTCACAAACCCCAATCAATTTTCTAAGTGCACTGATCGATGGTGCCAGCAGCAACATGTCATCGGCATAACTAATATTATTGAGACATACTCCATCTATATAGCATCCCACATGAGTGCTGCTAAGCTCACCGATCAATGCATTTATGTACAGATTAAAAAGTTTTGGCGAAGTTAATCCCCCCTGCCTAACTCCACATTCCGCAACATATGGAGAAGAGAGAGAATTGCCCCATCTCACTACGTTAGTTTGATTGTGATACCAATATTCAAACTGGCCCCTTAACTCCACCGGCATGCCCGTCGCCCTCAATTTAGCCCATAGGATGTCATATGAGACCAAATCGAAGGCTTTTGAAAGATCAAGGAATCACGCGAAAATGGGTGTCTTCCTGTCGGTATAGTACTTGACAGTATGCTTCAACGTCACTATAGCGCTTTCCGTAGAAAGTCCTGGTTGAAAGCCAAACTGAGCATCATATAGGTGTAGATACGGGTTTAAATATGAGTTGAGCACGCCGTCAAGCACCTTGGCTACGACAGTCGCCAAAGAGATTGGCCTATAGTTACTCTTATCTGCCACATCTCCTGTCCTATTTTTGATTACTGGTACCACAATCGTCCTCATCAAATCAAAAGGAAGGTACGAATGTGCCAAACATAAATTAAATAATAGTGCGGCATACTTTATGTGCTCAATACTGAGGCCATCGTGTCCAGGTGATTTACCTCTTTTGATTCTGCTTATGGCTATACGGATATCTTTAGCTTTAATTAAGGTAACAACCTGTCCACGACCAGCCTCAGCACCGGGCACACCCTGAGACGGCCCAAGAGGCGATTTCACAGCAAAATGCTGCTTGAAAGTATCTGCTATGTCTAGCTCCCTAGTCACGCCATCAACGCTCAAGGGAAAGCCATGCGATCCATGCGACCTATTGGTGGATTTCCAAAATTTCCCAAAGTCAGACCCAGAATGGTGCGAAGCAATTTTGTCCATAATTATTTGTTCCTGATTTTTCTGGCACCACCTAAGTCTGCCCCTGAAAATACGTTTGGCCTGTACCATATCATCATAAATAGGCCCCGATCTAGGACATCCAAAGCATTCCCATTGCATAAACTTCGCTTTAGCTTCCCCGTGAGCGGCACTGACATGTTTGTTCCAACCAGCAACACACTTCTTACGAGAAACCCTTTTTTGACAGTAGGTAGAACTAGCAGCAAGACATAAAGTGGAAATAATGTCATGGTATAAATTATAAATTATAATTATCGTCTGTTGTTTTTCCGGAATATCAAAAACGTACACTGACATAATTCAATTGTTTACATAAATTGAATATTTTCATTGAATCAATATAAGCACAAATACTGCAGAAATACTAATATTTTTGTGCGCGGTGTTATGACTTTTCATGAAATGGGTAAGATTCTTTTCAAATTTAAATAATGCTATTTTAACCATCCATTTATTTCCAGTTTAGAAGTGGTGGACATTACTGCTTAGCTAGTAGATGCACAAACAGTCAGCAGTTGTAAATACTTACCTGCCTACCAAATCCACATAATACTGTTAGACCAGAAATTTTGAAATCCCACTATTCATCTCTAAACACTTGTTGGAGAACATTGCGAATGCAAAGTCTATTATGTATACCTATTTTACCATACACAGGCCTATTGTAAAGTCGACTGGGTATGACAAAGAGACGCATGCATATTCATATACGTCCTCTTTACAAATTATGTTGCGCTGATGCCGACACCGTTTCGGTGCCACTAATTTGTTGATACATAATATTGGCGCGTGTTTTCAGAACGTTTACCGTCTCAAATATCGAGGTCGATAAATTAAGCTTTCGTAATAAAAAAGTATATTAAAAGGAATGGTATGTCTTGCAGAAAGGCTCCTTTCATGTGCAGTAATGAATATAGAATCGGATTTAGCTCGGCATGAGATCTCAAAACGTTTTACGGCGAAATAATCGCGATATTACGTTTTGATTTTCTCATTGAAAATTAAACTTTATCTCATTACGTTTATATGGCGTTTAAACGAGCAATATAGATAAGTGTCAGTAACAGAAAGTATACAAATATGTTAAGTATGGGTGTGCGTATGTAGCTAATGTCAATGCTAATATTACAACAGAGAGCAAGGTTAAGGTTTAAAAAATCTGTTGTAACTACGAAGTTCATTCAATGTATTGTTTTAAAACAAAGTTACGTATCTAAAACAACATTAAATTACATTTAAGAGGAATCAACAATCACATTGAGACTAGCTAATTCTAATTATAGATTTTGTAATGTAGGACAAAGTGTCAAAAGGGTGAAGTTGGATGCATTGACACTTCTATTGTATTTTTACAATAAACGTGATGCAATGTTGATTTTGACATCGTTTTTTCATTGGTTAACTAAAACAAATGTATAAAATTTACAACTATGATTCATTAGCGATCGCACCTTTTTCGTTACTGAGTTTTAGTAGCAGTAGAACTCTTTGCGAAAGAGTTCGTCCAGGAAAGACCTGCCACCTTATCTATTTTTGCCGCCAAGGAGTAGCGTTCCGGTTTTGAAGACAAGCGTGCTGGCGAAATTACAGGCACATGGGACTTTCAACTTATGCTCAAGGTGACGGGCGCAGTGGCAGTGCCCCTAATATATTTGCGATTTAAAGCTCTGAGCGGCACTGCAGCTCTTTCGGATAGGCGTGTCGCTTACCACTAGGCGCACGACTTGTTCGTCCCGTCACTCGGTATTATAAAAAAAGAGTAAGTTTATTATTTACTTAAATATTACGCTTGCTTAGAAGAATGTCCAATCAAAAGCGTTTAATTTTTTACGGTGGTTAATCAATTTAAAACCTTTAAATTTATTTGCAATTTCTCAATTGTTGCACATTGTTCGTAGACAAATTTTAGGTATTGCCAGCTGGGCCAACGACCTACGAAGGGACTTGTAAAATGTGAATAACGTATACGTCTCATGGTTTTTTCACAGGCTACGGCAAAAAAGCCCTTAAAACAAAAACGAAGATCTGCAGCAAGCACATGGAGAAATTCGTAAGGTAGGCTGACTCGTTCCGTAGCTCAGTTGGGAGAGCAATAGTCCCGGCATGGGGAAAATGTCGCAGGTTCGAGTTCAGCCGTATCGAAGGAATTTTTCTTTGAGTTTGTTCGATCTTTGTATCAATTATAACAATAAAGTTGTGAAGCACTTTCATCAAAAATATATAAATAAATATTAATGACGTCTTCCTACAATTTTGATCCCCGAAATATTGCAAGTTCCTACCACTGAGATTTAGATGCTAAATGAGCCAAGTTCACACTGCGAAAATTCATTCATTACAACGAAATATAAGTTTATTTTTTGATTTTACCTCACAAATTTTAACTGGCCATCGTAAGCAGTGCACGGTTTTCGACCCATGTTTTACTTGTCGTTTTAGCGTTGAAATTTATTCCATGCATTTTAAAAGTTTTACATCAAAGTTTTCTTCCACTTGAACGCCTCGTGTTTTTGTAGACTACAAAATAATGAGGAAACAAAGTTTCATTATCAAACTTATCGTAATACTAATTGATGATGTAAACGCTGACACATTACTATCTAGACTGTGTTTTACAAATACTTCAATGCCGTTGTATTTAAAATAGGAAGAAAAATCGCAAAGTACACATACTATATTACTTTTTTATTTCTTGTGTGACTACGGCGAACCCAAAGCAAGAGTAATATGTAAGATACTAGTGAGATTTACGTACATACGTAAGTATGTATTTCATATACGTATGTACGTAAGCATTTATTTCATATGTTCACACAATTTGAATCTACAACTGTAAAGCGGTCAAAGTTATTGTATTGTTTCAATTAATTTCAAATTAAACTATATTTTTATTAGGTTTTTGATATCTCTTATATTTACGGAATAATCGCCTGTGCACATTTAACGATTTCACCCTGTATACCTATGTCAATCACAGATGTTTAATTGTTATACCGATATTTAATTTATAACATGTACGAAACTAGTGGCTGTAAAGTTTCTAGACAAACAAATTAACATGTTTTTTTAAGTATCGATTTTGACGGTATAATTTTAAAAGAACTTCGCTTATTCAGCTATTTGTATCAGAGTTACAGATATCTTCTACATAAAGTTATGATATTGCTCCTGTGGCAACTATGTACAAGTCTTATCTAAAAAGCATTAGTTTTCCACTATGTCTAAATGCGGGCACTGCTCATGTTATCACCAACTTACGTACCCCGTGTTAAGGTTTCCTTACGATGTTTTACTTCAGTGCTCATGAATTGCTAAAGACTACAAATATTATAAGATAAAATAGAATAAAAAGCGTTTATTGCAACTTCGTATCAGAAAAATACTCCAGCTTAAAACATATATTTTAAGGCAGTAGAGCTTTACCTATTTCTGCTGCCAAGTAGTCATGTGAGCATTACTTAGTTCCGGTTTTGAAGGGTGCTGTTGAAATTACAGGCACATGGGACTTGTCAACTTATGTCTCAGGGTGATGGGCGCAGTGATATTGCGCCTCAGATCTTTGCGTTTTAAAGCTCTGAGAGGCACTGTAATTATTATAGACAGGCGTGTCGCTTATCACCACACGCACGACATGTTCGACCCATCATGTGGTATCTTAAAACACAAAAAATATGAAAAAATAAAAAAATAAAAAACCTAAGAACTAGTCATAAAATATAAACAAGCTTTTGTTTTACAATGACACGGTAAATACAATACAATGTAGATCTCATTCGGCGTAAATCGATATTAAGAAATGACGCGAATGAATGAACTATACATACATAGCTACCACTCAGTCTCCTATTTGGGCAAGCAAAGATTACGGACCTCCACTGAACAATAATACATATCACGTGAAATGGTCACACAGTAATGACATGCGCGGGCACACGTCCTCAACGGAAACTACGTCACCGTCCGGTGGCACCTGTGCGGCCGTTTACCCACCGCTCATTTCCACTGTCCTCTGATTCATTGATTAGACCAGTACTGCCACTGGCATTGGTTATAACTACTTATTCAATGGTAGGTTTGCGATGTCATTAACCTTCAAATACCTACACTTATTCCAATTTTTGAATTTATTAGCAGCAGCAAGTGTGCCTGAGATGGGTGGTTGAATCGGAACTCAAAATTTTTTTAGGTCATAGATAGAATATATACGCTTCTAAAAAAAGATTTTGGTTGACATTCAAAATGCGGCATTTACGAGGTTTAAAACTATATTGAAACAA